ATCCCGGAAGCTCTGTGTTCCCACCGCTGGCTCTCACACATCCAGAACGAACCTGGACCACTTTAGCCTCAGTTTACCCATTCCTGGCCCCTCATCGAGTGGCAGCAGCAAGAGATGTTATCGCTACAGTCTGAGGAAGGCCAGGGCTGGCTGTAGGTGGTAGTAGCTAGTGGTCCAGGGACATCTAGTTAGCAGAGTAGCCCCAAGATGAAGACACCCTGATTTCAGAGAGGAAGCTGATGGTCCCAGACCTACATCACTCATGAAAGTGAGTGAGCAAGGGAAATTCTACTTCAATTCACACATCCAGCAAGTCCTGACCTCAGCTCTGATGTCCATAGGCCGAGTCAGTGTCATCCCGAAAGGTCTCGAAGGCCCAGTAGTCAACAAGTGATGCCTGACTCACTTCCATGTAGCATTCTGAAAAGGCCAAGAAGGGACCCAGTTTCTGAGATGGAAGGAAAAGCCAAAGGATATTGAGGGGGTGCCAAGTCTGTCCCTGTCCCTTGCTGACAAAGGTAAAGGCTCTCTCATCCATGTGCGTGCGCGAGAGTGTGCACACACACACACACACACACACACACACCTCTGCCAGTGCCTCCACCACCACCACACCAGTGCTGGCCAGCAGCCTAGTGCCCAGAGTGGTCTGACAGCCTACTTTGCAGACCAGGGACTCACACAGGCCAGGAGGGGCCAGCCACCAAGTCTACTCATGGGTGTTAGGGACCAGTGTCCTTGTGGCCCACCTCTTTTCAGGAGACTCAGCTGGAAAACAGCCACTGTCCTCTCATTCACCTGACCCTCTTTCTAGGTCCTTCTACAGCCTCATAGAGGTTCCAAAGAAAACAAGTCTTTTGTGACACAGTTTTGCCCAGTCTGTGATCTGTCACTCCCCAGATACACCAAGCACAGCTCCTAGGAAAGGCTCTGACTGTGGGTGGAGCTCTGGGAAGAGCCCTGACACCTAAAGACCCTTTGGGCTGAAGTCCAGGGATGAGGCTCCCCAGTGCTGACCCTAGTTTAGTCCTTTCTCCTCATTATACTGAAAGACTTGCAGGCAGAGAGACTCACCTAACAGACACTCAGCACGGGGGTGTCAAACCTCCCTGCCTCTGGGCTCTGTCCCTAGCTGAACACTGGAGGAAGGAAGGAAAAGACAAGGCTTGCTGTGACCAGGAGGACTTGGGACTCAGGAGAAGCT